TACAGGTGTTTGGCCACAATCCCTGTAAGCGTGGATGACTGTTTCCTCAAAATTTGTAAACTGACATAATATGGCAGAACAACACATGATTTAAACTCCATAGTAGGTGTATTTTTCATAAAATCAACAATTACATTATTCATTGTTAGTGGTCATATAAGTTTTTAACACAAAATCGGTTGACACAACATCCACTGAGCCACTTCTAAGGAGGTATGTAGAAATGGAGTAAAAAATTGAATTGCAATTCACTGCAATAACCTCTTCCACCAGTCAATGTTGTAGAATGGTTTAAAACAATTAAAGCAATATGCTACTCGAGAGGAACAGTCGAAAGTTAGGAATTTTATTGGTTTGCTATTTCAGAATATTACCATTTCAATGGTAATGTGTGAACAATTTTCTTGCTGGTTTTTTATATACCTGGGGGATTTTTTTTGCAAGAACATGTCTGTTGCAACTTGGCAAAAGAAAGTTTGATAATCATTATTAAACTCCTTGCTCTGAGTAATTAATCAGCCTGGCTTTTCAACTCAGAGACCAGTGGCAAACTGTTTGTCCATGGCATCTCTCATGCTCACTTACAGTGTAAGATATAAACACTCTTTTTTAAAAATTCTTATATAGCCACCAGTCAGAAGCAAAGTGAAAAAAGGTCTTATGACAAGTTTATCACGAGCTGTGGATGATTTCAGGCATCATAGTCACAAGGTACAAAGTGTTCCATGGTTTATTTTATGGTTTTTTGTTTTGTTTTGATCTTTTATCCAAGAAATCTTTATTTGGTAAAATTGTGATATCACTGGATTATTGTTTTTATTACATACAGTTTATGTCTCATTCAGGGAAGTAAAATATTAATAATTGTAGTTTGAACTGTGGTATACACAAACATCAGTATGCATATTCTCCACACTGTTCTTGAAACATTTCCTAAGATGCCAACATGGAGAATTTGTCTAACAATCAAGAACTTCTCCAGTCGCTGAATGTTTGACTCAGTGGGGATATGGAAAGGAGAAATTAGATGTCAGTCACTCTTAGGGGTTAAACTGCTGAATACTTGGTCCTTCCTTATCAGTGTTAAACTCTTTGCAGGCCTCTCAGCAGCTTGTGTTGCTCTAGGTTTCGATCCTTTCTGCTGGGTGAAGAAATACCCTTGCCAAAGAGCAAATAACGAGGCCCTGCTGACAGATGACCTAACTTTCTTTTGAATTTAACCATTAAGAGAATAACTTGGCCTTC